AGTAAATTAGCTTGCAAAAACCGAGAGGATTATCTTAGACTTAATAACACCGTACTGTGCGTGCAAGTCTGCAGCTCCTCTTGTTTCCGATAAGGCAAATTCACGAATACTTCTAGGGTAATGAAGACAGGTAGTTCAATTTTCTAACAATTATGTGAGTGGGCCACATTTTTTCATTAAATTTTACACAACTTTGTGTCCTATAAGTTATTATCGCTCAGGATGGATCGCTGTCTCATCAGCACCAGCTGGATTCGAATACGGGTAGTGAATTGCTTTTCCCGAAACATCAACCACCACGCCCTTTGGTCACAGGGCAGACATACGTTTCAAGGTATTCAATGCATCCTACATGTCACATCTCCGTAGCGGAATTGCCGATGAAGCAGTCGTATTTTCCAGTACAATCTACTACACTGCTTATTTTCTGCTTTTATAATTAGGACTTCGAGACTATCAGTAAATCAGCTATATAAGATGTATTCATTCTATTTTATTTAAGGTGATTAAGTCGAATTTCCCCACAGTGATATGAGTAGAGCTAACGCTTGCATTGAATTTCACAGACTTGCTTTCCTAAAAGCTGCTACCATCCAAAATGAACTGCGGTCCGACCTCGCCTAGGCCTTATCAACACTCCCAGCGGGACTCGAACCATGGCAATGCGGCGAATAATCTCGACATGTTTACCACTGCGCCACATTGTCAGGAGTACCCATGAGCTACAGGGAAGATGCGCATTTCAAGAAAGGCTATTTTCCAATACCAGAATTGTATTTGCTATAATCGACAAAATGACCTATTTCTCATTTCCATAGGTAAGGTCTCGAGACTACCAGTAAATCAGTTATATGATATGTATTCACACTCATACATTCCATACAGCCTCTTATTTTCATTTGTAAGTCTGGAGATTAACAGATCTTAAAAAAGACCTGTATTTACCGTATTTCGTTCAAAGCGATAAAGGTAGTAGTAGAATTATAGATCTACTGGTAGCCTCGAGAACCAACTTTAAATGTGAATAGGTAACGAGGTTGATTTGCTTGATCGGCAATCCTACTTCGAAAATGTGATATGGGAAACGCCAGCCTTGCTTGAAATTTACTTATGTTCTGTGATCTAAAGAACTCGTGGCAGTGTAGTTAATGTACCGAGACTATTCGCTGCATTAACCCGGT